TACCACCATTGTCGGACGCCGATAAGTATGCCTGTGTTCTAGAACCTGACGAATGGTGAATATGTGGTCGATGCAGCCACGACCAGGTCTGAAGCCAGCCTGATTTTCACGTGTTTGCAGCTCACGAGTTTTAGTTAGGCGTCCGAAAATTATCGAAGCTAGTATTTTAGATACTATATTAGTCAAACTAATCCCTCTGTGGTTGTCACAGGATGATTTTGACCCTTTCTTAAATATTGGGACGATAAGTGATTGTGACCAGTTAGATGGAATAACGTCTAACTCCCAGATTTTAGCTAAAATATTAGTCAACCTAATCGCTAAGACTAGACCACCATCCTTAAAGACCTCTGGGGCCAATCCATCTGGACCAGCTGCCCGTCCTCGTTTCAGATTAGCTATAGCCTTTTGAACTTCAGCTAGAGTTGGGGGACCTACTTCAATGTTCCATTCACATTGTCTGGGAATAGAGGGTAGTTGTAGAGTAGCTGAAGGCCAGCTAAACTGCTCCTTAAAGTGTTCCGCCCATCGTTCTAAGCGTCTGGACTGGGAGCAGATGAGAGTGTCGTCTTTTTCCGAAATGGTCTGACTTACACTTGATTTATTAATTCCAGTTTCTTTTATTAGTCTGTAGAGTTGTCTTGTGTTCCCTATAGCCGCCGCCTTTTCCATCTCTTTTGCTTTCGTTGCCCACCACTGCTCACGATCATTCTTTAGACTTTTGCTTAATCTAGATCTGATTTCTTTACGCTCTTCATCGTATTCAGAACCTGATGGGATGAGTTTGCGAGAATCTATCAGTGCAATAGACCTTGACGAAATCCATTGGTTCTTTGTAACCCTGTGGTTTGAATCGCTAGTAGATGTCACTGCTGTTTCCACAGCTGCTTGTATAACTTTCCAAGCAACATCTGGGTCAGTCTCGTTTTCAGAACTACCTAAGTGTGACCTCAGTTGTTCCTGGAACCTACTTTTGGCTTTCTCATTACTCAATTCGGTTCTAATGAGTCTTTTTTGTGTGGCTCTTTTGCGTCCAGTGAGGCGCAAGCAGATGCGTGCTCGTACTAGGGCATGATCAGAGTCCAAGCAGGTACCCCAGAATGAGCGACAATCTTCTATTGACCCTCTCCAACGATGACTGATGGCAATATGGTCTATTTGAGTCCATCGTTGGTTTGGTGCAGGGGGTCGCCATGTTAGACGATGTCTCTCCTTATGCTTAAAATTTGTGTTTGCTAAAAATAAACGATTGTCTGAGCACAGTTGCAGCAGACGATCACCATTATCTGTTCGCTGTGCCGGAATACTAAAATACCCACCTAAATGTCTTTCTGTTTTGTTTAAGCTACCTACCTGGGCATTAAAGTCACCTCCTACGAGTACTATGTCTGAACGTTTAGCTTTCTGAAGAAGTTCAGACAGCATTCTGTAAAATTCATCTTTCACTTCATCCGAACTGCAGTCAGTGGGAGCGTAGGCAGAAACGACGAAAAGGCAACGACGTGTGTCCCTATCCTTCCGAGTTCTTACCGAGCCGTTTAGCCGAACAGCGCATAGACGACTGTTAACGGGGATCCATTCTAATAGCGCTTGTTCCGCCCTCATGCTAAGTGCTATGCCTACACCTGCCAGTCCACGAGAACTAGCCATCGGGTCGCCAGATACACGGAGGGTGTATCTCGTTGGCTCTCCGTTTTGCCGAGGTGAGGTCAAGTGAATGACCACACTAGGATCCTGTATGCGTGTTTCGGAGACACAGCATACATCAATGGTACGAGATTCTAAGGTTTTAGCCAAGGAAGCCTGCTGACCGATTTGGCATAGTGTGCGTACGTTGAAGGCTCCAATGTGTAGTTTGGAGCGAGGTTTCAGTAGACCTGGGACAGTGTTTTGAGCATTAGAATCGTTGGCTGTGGTGACACTTGAGGAGGAAGCTAATAGAGGAAGTTTAGTGTATAAAGTCGATGTAGGAGGAATAATAGGAATTGAAGAGGGAGGTTGACTATGAATACAGTGGTCTTGAGTGCTGTTAGAGGTATGAGGGCGGTTATCACTTCCCGGTTGCCCACACCGTGGAAGGGTTCTTCTGGAGGTACCTGAAAAGGAAATTGGATTAGAGTTGGTCATTGTGACCTGAGAGCGTGACCGCAGTGCCCAAGGGACAGCTGCTTGAGGTCGGTCACACACGACCTTTTTATGAGTGATTTTTTGTGTTAGCTCCGTACTTGTTGAGTCCTTACCGCCGGAGACGGATATCCGTGGGATAAGGCGAGGTGTGCATTTTTAGGGTCGACCTTTTCTAACCCCACCCCTCCTTGTGGGAAGGCAGCATCGCTGTCATGCTGGTTGTCTGAAGGAAACACCTTACTGCTGTCACACCTCTGTACAGTCAGCAGTACGACTTCGCCTTCGGACCTTGGTTTTGTTGCTTTTAGTCTTACCGCTCTTCAACCGACCTGTCTGGCATGGTAGGACCTTGAGGAACGGTTGTTCCAGCCAGTATAGCTCAGTTGCTTCATCACGATAGGCAAGCCCGACCACCACGTCAAGGTAGCAACAACGGTCAGGGGTAGCAACAACGGTCAGGCTACGGTCCTACATTTCTCCCATTACTGGTAGAGAGAAGAGTAGAATATGCATGTTCAGGCTTCAGATTCGCTTATTGAGGACAAAAATCCTTTGGCCTTTATGGTTCCTAGCAAGACTCAGTTCTGGGCTCTAGTCTTATCTTGAATCAAGGAATCTAAAGTGCAGACCACTCCCGGTAAACGGTGACAAATTTATTGATTGGTAAAAAGTCCTGTATGACACAGACATTGTTCGTTTTTGGCTTTTGTACTCGTCTGCTATGTTCTCTGAGTTGTCCTGCTCTGGTAAGAAAAGAAAAGGGAAGACATGAATCAGGTCTAAAATCATGTCTAAGAATTTATACATGGGAATCAGTTCACCTCTTACTAAAGTCAACGTAAGCACTACCCTCTAATTTTCTATTGTCAGACAACTCTGTGTATCTCTTACGCCATCAGGAGGTCCGTTCGCAATAATCTTTTCCTAAAACTGTATTCTTTACTGTTTCATCAGGTTTTTGGTTTCCATGACGTTTATGATGGAATTTTTGATTATTCTTTCCAGTAATTGAACTATGATGATATTGAATATAACGGGTTTATAGTTAGGTGTTTGTTGTCTTGATCCTAACTTGTGAATCGGACTAACAGTCGTATCTATCTAGTCCATAGGTAACTTTGACTGAGGGATATCTTAAATATTTTACTAATCGGGACAGCAACATATATTGCAAGTTATCTCAACCGATCGAGGTATGATTTTTTTGGTTTTTTCGTATCTAGAGAGCTTCTCTTTAGGACGTCGAGTAAATGATTTTATGGCATAGCTCCTAGAGCTTGTTGTGCGTCGATTGGAAATTCATACGTGAAGACACTAAAAAAATAGTTTGCCATAGCTTCTACTGTGTTTTGGTCTACCCCTGTGATCTCAGACGCCTTTCTGCATTTAAAATGGAAATCCATGTGTGCATTCTCCTTCAGTAGCTGATTTTTGAAACTAGAAGCTTCAGGTGGTTGGTTGTAGTTTGGGCAAGTTAATTTTCTTTTCTGAGACTGTCAAGGTTATAAACGTTTGAGTTAATTGGTTATATAGCTTTCAGAAGTGATATCATGTCTTCCTCACTAATGCTTCCGAGTGGAATTTCCAGTCTTTAGCAGTGGTTGTACAGTTGATCCCTTTCATTTCCATCTGTTAGGATGGGCCGGTAGCCCTGCTTGGTAGAATATGATCATACGATCACTTCTCTTTTTAAGTGAAATTCATCTATTTGGACGGACATCGCCGTAAGCAACGAGTAAGTCTAGGATGAAAGATGATTGCTCTAAGTCATCTCTGATGTGATCTTTAATGTACCGCAATAAAGCTAGTGTGATTTCGGTTTTTCATATATTGTAATCGGACGATTTTTCTGAAATCACTCTATATGTTAGCCTAATTTGGAGATGATGCGTTAAAGTCACCTCTTATGAGGTTTCTGGATCTCCTTGACCAGGATTGCAGTTCATTTAGGACGAAATCGTCTTCTGCATATCTAGGGCTATGATACATTACAACTACTCCACTGTCTTTCTCTTTACATTTTCTGCCGGCACTTCACTAATACACGTGTCTCTGAATCACGTCTCGACAGCTTATATGGATTAATTATTTTTCTGAAAAAGGACTACGCCATCACTTCTGTGGCTTAGCCTATCAGTGCTAAAGAGCGAGAAGTCCGTCAGATATGTTTCACGATCACTTATTTCCAATGTCAGTCGTGTTTCCGTAACTGTGGTGACATCAGCATTTTCTATGTCCATGAGGTAATGCTTTTACTGCTCTTGATGAATTTTATTTTACAAAATATGAACTTGAAGACACAATTGGGTGTATAATCTTTCCCAAAATCCCATAAATTAGTAGGTACAAATTCTCACCATGGTCTGCTGCAGTAAATTCAACTGCTGTTTGGATCAGAAATCACTTTACATTTTTTTAACAACTGATGGACAGCATTCTGTCTGATATTCCAAAAGTAAATGCACACTTGGATGATATCTTAGTTGTTACCGAATCGCCAACAAACCTCAGTTTGGTTGAAGCAGTCTTACAACAAGCCTCGAAAAATAATTACGTTCCTGTTCAACCGTGTTCTGATTTGGGGACTTGTTGAGTGAAGCAGTGTCGAAGAATACTAAGCAATAAGAGTAGCTGGGTCGTAATAAGAGAAATTGTAACATACCACAAAACTAACAACCAGATGAATACACTTTCTAGTTCCCTATTACTGCTGGTATTTATGTATTTCACTCACGAGTCAACATTCGCACGATGGATACTCATTAATTTTATTTGTATCATTTGGTGAAGGAAAATAATTGATGAGTTTCGTTGTTGATTTCTTGTTATTCTTCAATCAGAAATAATTTACTGTTCGCTAAGACCTTGGGACTATGTCTGAAGTATCTCTTCTCCATGCCTCACCTTTTATTGCTTTGCCATTCGTTGGAGCATTTGTTGGACAGAGGATTGTTTCTAAGAATATGTATTGGTATGATACTTTGAGAAAGCCATCGTTCTCACCTCCCAAATGGGTTTTTGGACCCGTTTGGAGTGCACTGTATGGTTGCATGGGAGCTGCATCCTATCTGGTATGGAGAGATGCACCACATGAGAAGGTGATGGTTCCTTTGGCTGTTTATGGTGCGCAGCTTTTACTTAACTGGTCGTGGACACCTGTGTTTTTTGGACAGCACAAAATAAAATATGTATGTTGGTTTTACTTAGTTTGGCGTGTATAGAGTAATTTTAGTGTTAGTCATTACATGTATAGATGAAGTATCAACAGTTTTAACGTATTTGATCCTATATTCAGTGATGTAATTAAACAACACAATTCTGGTGAGCGGCCTATGCTCCTTCACGAGGAGTAACAGGCGTAAGTAAGTAAGTAAGCCTAACCCAACTGCCGAAATGGAGCGATTGCTAGAGATGGTTGTATCCTCTCACTCTGCCTAATTCGTTTGTGTACAGAATGTTCAATATGTTAAAAAAACTCGCACACACCTCTTCGATAAATAACTCCGAATCCCAGTTTTGTTCAACGAATCGAAGGCGGTGTTGATATCAAGCAACACAACAATTGTGATAGGTGTGTTAATACTTTAATGTTTGGTGAACAGGTAATTAATACATTCATAACTAGAATATAAACCAACCTTCTCCTCACAAGTCAGTTTTTCACTGGTTTTGTGCAATCTACTAACAATGACAAAAGTCAATACTTCGGAGAAAATCAGAAGTAAACTTATCACCAGTTGGTTGCTTCATGGATTTCATAGGTCCTTTTCAAATATGATAACGACTTTCACTCTATTCCAGGATGTTGGAACAATGGTTTATTCCCAGACGTTTCCGAACGACCCAGTCATTTCTGTGAACAGAAGTTCTCCATCTTGCTTACTGACTGTAAAATTTTCATTGATTGTATTGGAGTCGTAACCTGTTCAGGTGTATGTGTAGAATATGAAGTATATCATTTCCTACTTCAGTGTTTCCTCACATTGAGGGATTTTTCTAATCTTAACACAATGTAAGCGGCTGTTAACGAGGACCCAATTGATTGATGCTGTCTTTGGTCTATTTCTTATTGATACACCAACGCCTACTAAATGAAAATGCTTAATGGTCTTTGGATAAGCTCATTTGAAATATGTTTCGAAATAGACAGATAAAGAGCGAATGTGTAGTACTTCCCTAGAATCTTAAACATTAGTCTTCTATACAACTAACATCAATATCAGGAATTTTCAAAGACATCCAAACCTATTTGTTGTTCGACCTGCTTTAGTGTACGAATAATATGAGGAACCGAACTGAATACGACGCGTGGTTTCAGAAACTGATTCAGATTTTGTATTCAATGGTAGCATTCAAAATTTTGATCAGTCAGGGTCTTGACTTTATTTATTCAGGATAGAACTTTCACAACAGACGCATTGCTGAGTTGGCAAATAAAGTATAAATAGAATGCAAACAAAACGGAATAAAAAATTCGAGTGAAGTACAACGAACACACTTGAAATATGCGGATAACATTTATCTTTTGTACTAGTTATAAAGTGGAAAAGCATATCGATTTCGTCACACTCATACATTGTCATGAATGTGAGACTGCTAGGCTACTTCCTGAGTTCCTCAATCGATGCATTGAATATGAGAATATATTCAGTAATCGGAGTACATAGTTTAAGTTATCGAAGCTTTTAATAGCAAAAGGTGTTATGTTATACACTGCCTGCCATTAGTAAATAAAATGAATTTTACAGTAACACACACTTCTCGTGCGTATGCAGCATTTTTTTCATTAAATATAACTATAAGGAATCACAAACGATTTAATTAGCAACATTGACTTCCATTTTGCTTCTAACACTTGTACGTTGCCCAATGTCTTCCGAAAAACAATTTACCCGGTCTTATAAAGCTGTTCCCTTAGCTTTTAACCTAGAAGCCTAGTCCGCAGGACAGTATGGGAACATCAGGAGATGCAATCCCATAGTAGCCAGTGACCAAATATAGGTTTTCACACCATTTAATCTCCCCAAATCCTGAAACCTGTGGTTTGAGATCGCGGTTTTCAAATTTCACTAAGTGGGGTTTTCGTGTCCACTTCCGTAATCAACATTCGCCTCGGAAAAGCGAATAGTAGAACGTCTCTGACAGTGTCGTATAAGAACATTACGGTAGGGAGGCCTGACTACCCTCTACTCTTGACCACAACAAGATATCTGGGGGCATTATCAATAGTGTTGATTGTCATATACTAAGTGCTAATGCATAGCCCTAAATATCTTATATTTTAATCCCAGCATAAACATTGATTTGCCTAATATGTTATTAATACCAAATGTCCTATTATCTTACCTTATTCTGACACCTTATTTATACATGTATTTTCCAAAGGGAGCTATAATAAACTTGGGAGTTTTTGGCGGTGCTGTTACATGTGTACATTTATTTCGCGCCATCAATATCAATGCCAGTAATCTAATGATTCCATATGCTTTATGGGTAGCATTTGCTTCAATCATCAGTGTTCGTGTGGCTATGCTAAATGATGACGATTAATTGAATGAATGTAGATATAACGAAATGTGAACATTTCTAAAATTCGTGTCGGCGAGTTTAGCCTTATTTGGTTTATACTTTAGTTTCTAAATATTTCCAGTAACTCAGGGATATTAATTAGTTTATTTTTGTTTTCCCTTTTTTAAAAAAAACAGTATTTTGTGACAGTAAATGCGAGTCGTTTTTTCAGTTTTCTTTATTGCTTGCGTGTAAATCAAGTCTTAGAAGTATTTCCACGAAAATTCCATAGGGATCGGTACCTTTTACACAAAGCTGGTCCAGATGGATTGGCCCCAGAGGTCTTTAAGGATGGTGGTCTAGTCTTAGCGATTAGGTTGACTAATATTTTAGCTAAAATCTGGGAGTTAGACGTTATTCCATCTAACTGGTCACAATCACTTATCGTCCCAATATTTAAGAAAGGGTCAAAATCATCCTGTGACAACCACAGAGGGATTAGTTTGACTAATATAGTATCTAAAATACTAGCTTCGATAATTTTCGGACGCCTAACTAAAACTCGTGAGCTGCAAACACGTGAAAATCAGGCTGGCTTCAGACCTGGTCGTGGCTGCATCGACCACATATTCACCATTCGTCAGGTTCTAGAACACAGGCATACTTATCGGCGTCCGACAATGGTGGTATTCCTTGACTTAAAAGCAGCGTTTGACTCTGTTGACCGAGAGGTTCTGTGGCAGTGTCTGTCATTGAAAGGCGTACCTCAGAAGTACATAAACCTTGTGAAGGCTCTTTACTCGAACACTACTAGTCGGGTCAGAGCCTATGGCGAACTGTCATCTGCTTTTGCAACCTCAAGTGGCGTCCGTCAAGGCTGTCCACTTTCTCCTTTTTTGTTTAACTTTATCATAGACATCCTGATGGAAATAACGCTCTCATCGACTGACTTCTCGGGTATTGATCTCCTACCAGGAGGTCCACTTATTGACTTGGAATACGCAGATGACATAGTCCTGTTTGGTGAAGACGCTGACGAAATGCAGAGTCTTTTGTTAGCACTGAGCAACAATGCCCGATTGTTTGGGATGCGCTTTTCTCCCTCTAAATGCAAGTTGTTACTTCAGGACTGGTCTGCATCAACACCTGAACTAAGGATAGGGGGTGAAGTAGTCGAACGCGTTGATAACTTCACTTATCTTGGAAGTCTGATCAGCCCTAATGGGTTGGTGTCTGACGAAATCTCAGCACGGATTCGAAAAGCTCGCTTGGCCTTTACCAACTTACATCATCTATGGCGAAGGCGAGATATTCGTCTATCAATTAAGGGACGAGTATACTGCGCGGCAGTTCGTTCCGTCCTTCTATACGGCTGCGAAACATGGCCTTTAAGAGTGGAAGATATTCGTAAGTTACTAGTATTTGACCACAGGTGCCTTAGAAATATTGCGGGTATCTGCTGGGATCACCGGGTAAGTAATAGTGAGGTTAGACGCAGGGTATTAGGGAATGATGGTAAATCAGTTGATGAGGTTATGAATCTTCATCGACTGAGATGGTTGGGCCACGTGTTGCGTATGCCTGAACACCGATTACCACGACGCGCAATGCTGACTAGTGCAGGGGATAATTGAAAGAAAGTTAGGGGCGGCCAAACCAAAACGTGGCATCAATGCTTGAAGTCACTAACTTCTGGTCTGAGTCATGTTGGGAGATTCAGACTGCCTGGTTGGGGTCCGCGTGACTATCGTAACCAATGGTTGGAGACTCTTGGTGACATGGCTCAGAATCGATCACAATGGCGTCGGTGTATACACTCTCTGTCTTCCTTAAATTAAGAGATTAAAATCGCTTCATATCTGTCTAGGAACTAATTCTTTCTTCCTGTACTATCTCCATATACACAATCTTTCTTCTATATATTACCACCACTGAATTAACTACTCCTATGAATCCGGTGTTCATCTTGTTGTGCTAATGCGGTATGGCAACTTGGACCGATGCATATACGTGCCTGGTCCTACGTTGCAGCTGACTGACTGACACAAAGCTTATAATATTGTTGATTATGCGTTCTTGGTCGTTTAAATCTAATAATTTCAAAAAAATTGGATCAAACAATGTGTGATCAGATTAGGTTAGGTAATTTTAGATCATGTCACAAGATTTTGGGAAGTAAATTATTTCCTAAGAGACAGATTGATTGATGCTGAATCGCAGCATAAAAACTAATCAAGAATATGACAAAAAACCAAAACAATATACTTCACTAAGTCACCACAATGAATATAAACTGTCCATCTAGAAAGAGAAAATTTGTATTCTCAAGTGAATAAAAACCTAAAATTGAGACGATATTCGTCTAACGCATGTGACGGTCGTTTGTGTAGTTGGTCGGGACCTGTTGGTAAAAGATCAGATAACAGTAGCCGTTTCCCACAGCTTCGCGCACACAACAGCCTCTCTCTGACCTGCACCACCCTCCGGGATAGTCATTGCCTATATACTACCTGACACCCTCTCAGTGACTCAAAACTGGGCTCAGGTTGTTCACATCGTGACCAGCTACCGCTGGAATAGTTGTGTACAAGTCTGACGCTCCTTTTGGAGCATCTTTCTGGACACTCATCTGCGCCAAAATTATCTTGCGTTTGGGTGGCCAGAAAATATGTTGTCCTGAATGGACTGACCTGAACTATTTGGCTGTAGCTTCCGTTGCAACCGAGTGTCGAAGCGAGTTGAGTTTAATATTAACTACTACCGGGAAGTGTAGTTGAGCAACGACTGCGGTTTTAGGTTGTCATACAACTGACGAGTTACGTCTTTTGCAGAACGTTCCGCTTATAAACACCGAGTTGCTACAAGCTCCTTACAGCTGCTTGAGAATCGTCCGTCTATTCTGGCGAACCGCGAGTTTGATGATAAGTGTGCGAATTTTGTGTGATGACCGAAAAACCTGGTGATCGGAGCTTTTTATCGGGTTGGGAACAGCTGCTAATTTGGCAATTGTCAGAAGCCATTTCAACTCATTTGAACCACTAGCAACATTAAGCTTGGTACCCGCATTAATGGCTTCTATCATGCTCCTCAGATTGTGGAAAACCCAAAAAGGACTGATTTCTAAGCAGCACACTGGCTTTCATTCAGGTCGTAAATGTATTGACACTTATCAAACGAAAAAAAGCTTTCGTTAATGCTCGATTTTTGCTGTATCACTTATTATTATCGACCGCCAAAAGTTCTAGGAATCTGGCTAATTTTTTAAATCTTTGCTACTACACTGAAGTTTGATGAACTATTTAAACACTTTAATGGGTTCCTTAGTAAAGTAACGTATGTATTGTACTCATTCATACTAACTCCAATGAAACTATCTTCGTCACCTGATTAGATTATATTGTTTTTACGTAACTACATACAAAATTATTGAGTTACATAAAATATTTTGCTAACTGCGTTATACTATCGTTGCCTGATAGTGTTAAAGTCGATCCGCTGTACGTTTATTTCCCAAACTATTCTCTTATTATCCGGCAACTTAGGGCATATATTAGCTCAATAGTGCTTATTCTGGCAACAATACATTGTATTTAAGCTTATCAACAATATCCAAATTGAGAGCATAATATTATTTAGTGTTTGACATAATGAGATAGTGAAATGAAAAATTAATTTCAACAACAGCTATGGGCATGGATATTTTCTGTGTACTTACAAAATAAAGAACTGTCATCAGCTATTTACTGCCTGGAATGTTTCAAAATCCAAATTACAGAGCTATTTATAATATACGTACAGAAATGAATCTGGTCAGAAGCTAGTGTGAGCATATTAGCGTGTAGCAAAGATCCTTATAAAGTCAACAGACTGAGTCAAATATTACAATTAGATATTTTACTCAGAAAATTTTGGAATATTGACAGTACCGAAGACTAAAGGGCTAGAAATGAGTGGTTATGTCATTAGCAGAATAAAAAATAATCAGTTAATTAAACGAAATAAGTCCGTTAGAATAAAATCTAAAAGAGACGTTCCTTGCGGAAAATAATCAAATGAGCGAAATATGTGAAAGGAGTTATGCTATTAGGGTAAATGTAGACAGTTTCCTTCTCGGTATATAAATCAAGTTTCTGGTGCTTCATATTGATAGCTTTCGCACAATATATAAGATTAGAGCCACAGTTTTGACTAGTAACTTTGGAAGATTTTGTGGTGTTCACTCGATGTACTGAGTCCAAGGTATGTCCAGAAATTGAACTCAACGTCCTTATATTCCTTTTGACCAAAAGCCTTTTGGAATAGGTTTAAAAAGCCATTGTTGAATAATATATGGACTAGTAAAATAAGTTGTCATGATACATATTGAAGAGAAACAACGGTAAGTCGTTTTAGAAAACAGGAAACACCACGAATTAGCTTTTTTGAACTAGTCTGACATTACTATTTCAAGCATAGCTTATGACTGGATGAATTTTGTGCTGACATTTACCACAAAAAGACTTCGACTTGTTTAAGCAGTAGACGGCATGAAATAAGTGTAACTAGTTAGATGTGAACCAAGGAAATGTACTAACCTAAGTTGCCCCCAAATGCCCTGGTACGGCCGAGAGTGAGGAGAGTCCGCTCTTCCTCTCGAAATGTTCTCACATGGCCACGCGTATATAGCCTCTGCCAGGGAAGTCCTACTCACTGCCTTCTCGTGGCAGGGGTGTTGTTTACGAAAATGAGAGGACGAAAAGCGAATGTCCGGCGCTTTAACCGGATCCCAAAACAATGGTGCACATGGGCTCCAGTATCCTGAAGGAACAAATGGCGTATGAACCAATCGTTAGTCACCGGCTACCATGGGACTGCATCTCCTCACGATGCTCCACTGCCTTGTGGATCAGACGTTCAGGTCAAAGGCTCGGGTTGTGGCCCCCTAAGAAAACCACCTGCTTCGGTTTGGGAACCCGGGTAGTATCACAGCCCTCACACAAATCAATTGCGATTCGTGTGGCGCATATGTATTTGGTGCCTCCTTGTACCAATACCTATGTGTTAAAATAAATAAATAAATAACCTAAGTTCAGCTGCGAAAAATTCTTTTAAATCAAATAACCCTTAAATTAACCTTAACACTAGAAACAAATGCGGTTAGAATATTACTATATATAACCATTATTTGATGCTTCGTATCAACAAATATACGATCGATGTCTAACCTCAACCTGGGAATATAAGAAATGAAATAGAAATTTCCAATTCAGACGAATGTTACCCAGTTCCCTAAGCTAGGCGGACAACTTTATCATCCCTTACTTTTTGTAGAAGTTAAGCTTTTGTTCCATGTGCCTCAAATCAATTTGTCCTGATGGCTTTGATGGGATTGTGCCAAATTAATCTTCAATTAAAATTCGAAATCTGATAGAAATCCTCCAGATCAGCAATAAGAAACAATCACGAGAGTTTACTATCAAGTTTATTTATTTACTTAATTTTGGTGATAGCTTCACTGATCGAAAAAAATTATCTTTTTATTGTATTCTATGAAGCAGACGTTGTAGCTTACCCTACCATGGGAAAATAATAATAATTCTGACAATAAAGATATTAAATTTTTGACAAGTAAATACTTTTGAACTTTCCCAGAAAAGATGACCTAAGAACGAAAGTTTCACATTCAGTTGTTTTTATTAAAAACAGGATCACTATGATAGCGAAGTTCACTCTCAGACGTAACAGACAAATCATTTACAGGAGTATTTAAATCTTTGGTTAATTGGCGTTTTCTGCGAGCTTCTGAGGTGGTTTGTTTAGGATTATGCATTGAACTAGATATCGCCTCTTGACTACGAAACCAACTTTCTGCTTTGAATCCAATGGAACCAACAATGACAGCAAATGGCAACGCCACATATCGAACGTTGGTACGTATGAACTGAAGAATAAGCGGCCACATCTACGTACTGGGAAAAGACAGTATAAATATGCAAATATAACTTTTCTCTTCTAAACTTTAATGTGGAGGTTAAGATGGTATCATTCTGTGCGAGGTTCTGCTGTGATGTCTGTCATTATAACTGGTTTACAGTAACCAAACAGAAATACGAGAAAAATGTAATGAAGTAGACTCACCTCTTAATTTATTATGCGAACAACTTATGAGTGAGGATGACTGCGCATAGATATGAGTTCTGAATAATAATAATGATAGCGGCTTGGTTTAATATTACATATTTGGTACAATATAGAATTCTTAGCACATGAAACCGAACTCCCAACTTTGGGAAAATCCAAGGTAACGATAAAACGTACTTTTTTTGTACGCATAGTTCTGGTTTGAGCTCCTGGATGGTAAGAGCTTCGACTATTTTTAAGAGTTGGATACGTAGAAATCTGGGTCGATTTGAACGAATCATATAAACAACCTTAAAATCAAACTGTGGATCCGTAGAATGGTTACAGTCGATTAGGTGTTCAAGTATATAACTCTTAACTGTTTCCCTTTCATCCTTATAAAACCAAGCTGGGATATGTTCCCGTATCCGAATCGAAAGCGAGCGCTAGCTACGGTCAATGTACCTTGCTCCACAAGAGCAGGTGAACTGGTAGATGCGCATAGAGGCGACCAGACGCGGAAGCTTATCTTTTATGGATACAGAAAATAAGTTCATACTAGTGAAAGTTATTCGCAGTTTAGCCGCATTAAATGTTCTTTTGATCGTTGTTGTTAGACGATTTTTGATCACGTATGATGTCCGATCACCTTTAAATTCCAGACTTATATAAAGGTTTTTCTTCGGGACGGAACAATTAGGTTTCTTGTCACAACTACTTCTATTCATATTCTTTTCTATGAAACGTTCTGGGTAACCATTTTTCGTCAAGGTTTTTTTGAGGAATGCGAGTTCTTCGTTAATGCATTCCGCACTGCATATCCGATGTATTCGATAACATAAAGAAGATGAGTTTTCTCTTTCTACTTAACGGAATCCAGCTATAGAAGTTGGTTAGCTGGCCATTCCATGTTTGCTTTTAAAGACGGATGTTTTTAAAAAACCATTACTCCTCATCAAGGGTACATCGAGAAAAGGAATTGATTGGTCTCGCTTCCTTCATAACGTTAAGTCTATGGAAGGGTGGCATGAATTGAAGGTATGTAGGATAACATCTAAATCAATATTATCATCACAAACGTGTCGTCTATGTATTATACGTATAGGTGAAATCGATTGATCATTGAACTGAGTTGGTCGTTTCCTAGTTTTGCCATGAAACAGTCTACTAAAATTGGACCCGATGGAGTCTCGCAATGGGGTCTCCAATGGGTTCCTTGCCTTGTTTCACTACTAAGTCCTTATTGATCATTAATTTGGTAGCTCCTCCCCTCGCCCTACCGCTGAGTCAGAAATACAGAAATCAGCCTCCACCATACGAATACTATATTTGAAAAATAAGCAGACACACCTGACCGCATCATACTATAAAATGAAAGATAACAATCATACATGACCAAACTAAGAAGTGGTTGTGAGTAGAGGAGACTGCTAATAATACGTTGGCAACAGATTAAGAATAACAAGCTATATAACAGTAGCCAACGTGTCAAACGAAAGCTCAAGATGAAATGAATATATATATATATATATATATATATATGAAATCTAGTTAATAATTATACAATAAGAATGTGCATAATAAGTCCATAAATTAACCCTGGCAGTTACCATTCATTTATTCTTCGTCGGATATAACAAAATATTATTGGAGTTGTGAAAGGTTTCCTTCCTTGGTACGACCCCATACTCAGAACTTCTTAATTTGACAGTAACACACATCAGTTCAATTGTGAGAAAGCTGGCAAAGTGTAAAGCTTTTCGGAAATTACGTAGGAATATGATGTTTTTCCTCTTTAAACCATTTACGACTATTATAATGATATGAAGTAGTGATTTGGTTGAACTAGCTGCAGTGACTTGATGATCGATGAATTCATCGCAAAAATTAATTTTTGCAAATGACAGGTAACCTTGGTCGAACTCTTCAGTGTAAACCCTTTGTAGTTTAGACAAGACATATGAACGGATGGAGTTGATTTCTCAGTGTTGCTATTAATCAAGTTTTACAGTTACTGCCAGTCCTACGACCGGATAAAGGGGTGTTGGGGATAGGGTTAGCAACCTTATTCTGCAGAAAACAACGTTGCTAATAAACCCTAACCAGAAAGTCATATGAACCATTCAAGCTCTGCCCATGAAACTTGAAGGTTCTCATTAAGATGAGTTATGACGCTTCATGGTGAAAGTCGAGATTATTCAGAAGTTACGAAATTGATGCTTCTTCCGACAACCAGAGCAACAATCGAAATAAGCACATAGAATGTCCACATGATGTGGGAAACTGGGATGACCATTCAAGTAGTTGCGGAAATGAAAAATATACAACCTGGGGAAGCTTGGAATAAATGTAACTCATTGGATTCAAGCTGGACAGAAAAGACTGGCTTCGAGAAAGGTGATGTTGTGCCCCGGTTATGAAAGAAAACGCCTCGCGTATACAAGGAGTTGTACTGATGTTATCCAAAGAAGCACTTATAAAATGAGTATTTTATGGATCCAGGATCATTAAAGAATCCTTCAAAACAAGGAGGAGGATTACAGTGAATTTAATCAGGTGCTATGTACTCATCAATCAAAGAGAACAAGATAATGGATATCAGTTCTATGGGGCTGCAGTTGATAGTAGAGAAATCTCCAGGAAAAGATCTGACCATCCTGATGGGGGACCAAAACACCAAAGTTTAAAAGAGTAGCATTAAGTATAAAGATATCACGAGACGACATGAAGTGAAAAGAAATAGAAATGGTGAGAGATTTGCATATTTATTTGCCTTCAATAAAATGGTTATAGATGGCACTAACGCATACATAATTCCACATGAATTTCACCGGAGCACACTACAGAAATCAGGTCAATCACATCTACATAAATAAAAGAATTCAGAAGGTTCATCGAAGACGTAAAAACAAAGATAGGAGCTGATATAATTTCATATCATCACTTGGATGTGGCCAAGGTGAAGCTGAAGCTAGAGAAACGCTGGACAACTGAACAAACAGCATTTAAACAGTTTAATAAAACCTTCCTTTGGAGATTCTAACCAACTCAATGAATAAAAAATAGCTCTCAGAAACAAGTTCCCAGCCTTATACGATCTACTGAAAGAAGAGGAAAGTACTGTGGAGAACAACTGGGAAGTTAGAGAAGCAACTGCTTCAACATACCTGAACGCGCTGAGCCGCAAGAAGCACTAGTATAAACAATGATTCTAATCCGGGCAAGGTTGAAGGAAAGAAGCAAGTAGACAGCAACAGAAAGGCATGGAAATCCAAGGGACAGGACAAGCATACAGAAGCGAACAAACGAACAGAGAAGAGCATTACAGCTGATGAGAGGAAATATGTGGAGGACGAAATCTGGTTTATCTACCAAGTCAATATATATATATATATATATATATATATATATATATCGAGCGTATAACATTTTATTTCTAAAATTCTACTCAACTATATTTGAAGACTGAGTCCTAACTAGTCGGAATATTACGTACTATCTTTGTTTTCCGGAATTTTGACAGATATCGCTATGTTGGAGAGAATGCTGAAGACAACTGGTAAGGTATGTGGTGAACTTTTGGATATCATCATATGAATGTGAACAGATATTTAGAAATTGACAAACAACTTACAAGAGCTATTTTACCAGAAACAAACTCTGCATTCCACTCACATCTTTCTCCCTAAATATCTTTTTATAACACGATCCTTGCTGCTACCTTGACGTGGTGGCCAGGCTTGCCTATCGTGACGAACGAAACGAGATACACTAGTTGGAACAATTTTCATCAATGTCTTACAATACCAGACAGGTTGGTTGAAGAGCGGTAATACTAAAAGAAGCAAACCCAAGGTCTGAGAGCGAAGTCGTACTACTGAAAGTCTTTCTGAAACGACAAATACTATTCACGCTGATTTCCTTCAACGTTCGCACACTAATGCAGATCAGACAACAGACAGGGTTGGCTGTCTTTGGAAAGTTTTAATATCGACGTCTGATGTCTATCTGAGACCCGTATTCAGGACTTTGGTAAAGCACCACAAATTTGTTCTCCATCTATTGCTTCGAAAAGCTCGTTTCACGTGCATACACCCGTGGACCCTGTGGCATCCTTGTCCGGTTTTGCTGTCGCAATAAGCGCTAGAGCTGAGGCAGCACTAATCGATTGGATCCCCATCAGCAGTTGATTATGTGCTGTAAGATCAGAAGATTCAATCAAAGTGAAGAGAAATCGGTGTTAGAAACGATGTCTTCCCATCATTTCCACCTATGCTCCGACAGATTGCAGCCCCGATGCAACCAAGAACGCGTTTTACTACCAGCTAACAGTTCTAATAGAGAAAGTGCGTTCGAAAGATGTTATAGTACTGGCCAGAGACTTGAATGCTGAGGTCGGGCGTCTAAGCACAGAAGAGAGTCGTTTAGGTGGCCGATGGGGAATTGTTGCTCGCAAGTCAAATAACGGGAACCGTCTACTGCAACTGTGTGCACACCACAACCTATTTCGGGTTGAGACTAACTACCGACACGGTCATCGCCGATGTGCCACCTGGCGTCCTCCCTCTGCATCTGAAGCCTCGACTCAGATTGATCACGTTGCGGTCAGCTACCGCTGGTGTGGTTCTGTACAAGACTACCGCTCCATTTGGAGTACCTATCTGGACTCTGACCATGCACTCATTTGAGCGAATTTTTGATTACGTTTCAGTTGCCAACGAATTCGTCGTCTTAAACGGATTGGTGTCAGTAAATTTGTTGCAGTTTCTGTTGAAAGTAAACATCAAATCGAGCTAGGTTCGAGGCTGGTTATCATCACAACGAAAAGCATAGATGTGAATTGGTTGCAATTGCACGACGCTATGAAAATGGCGAGTAATGTCTCCTGCTGCTTCGCGAAACATCCCGCTTATGGGCATTAGGTTTCCTCAGACTTCTTACAACTCATCGAAGCCAGTCGGTCTACTCCAGGTGACCGGGAGTTTGACCATAAACGATGGCTGTTACATAATGAAACTGGGCGAAGCTTGTGTAGGTACCGAAAATCCTGGTGGTTGGCACGTGCTAATGAGCTGGAAGTAGCAGCTGCATCTAGTAACTGCCCGAAGCTCTCTCAATTCATCCGAGTCACAGACAGCAAGTAGTTTGGTGTGAGTGAAACAATCTGTGAAATCGATGGGATGCCAACCACTAAGATCTATCGATGATACATAATGAAGCGGATTGTCCAAAAGCCAAGAAATATTGGCTCGTGAGGAGCAGGTTGGTTTGCGTTCTGATCGAGGATGTATTGATCATATCTTTGCGACAGCTTAGGCTGATTGGTTAAGAGTCGACCACAAACGGCAAGACTATAATCTACAGACGAACCAGTCAGGTATAAGATGACGAGCTTGGGTTTTGGCACAAAACTCACTCATTCATTTGGCTAAATAGATTCTTATCATTATGGCTGACGTAATTCCTAACCTTAATCATCAACTGTTTATTTTTTTATTTTAACACATAGGTATTGGTACGATGAGGCATTAAATACAAATGCGCCACACGAATCTCAATTGATTTGTGTGAGGACTGTGATACTGACCGGGTGCCCAAACCGAAGCAGGTGGTTTTCTTAGGGGGCCACAACCCGAGCCTTTGACCTGAACGTCTGACTCACAGGGCAGTGGAGCATCGTAAGGAGATGCAGTCCCATGGTAGCCGGTGACCAACGATTGGTTCATACGCCATTTGTTCCTTCAGGATACTGGAGCCCATGTGCACCATTGTTTTGGGATCCGGTTAAAGCGCCGGACATTCGCTTTTCGTCCTCTCATTTTCGTAAACAACACCCCTGCCACGAGAAGGCAGTGAGTAGGACTTCCCTGGCAGAGGCTATATACGCGTGGCCATGTGAGAACATTTCGAGAGGAAGAGCGGACTCTCCCCACTCCCGGCCGTACCAGGGCATTTGGGGGCATCATCAACTGTAATCATATTTTTAATTCCTCACACAGGTTTATAACCCTCATTCGGTCCTGTTTATTTGGTAGACACTCCCAAGGTCTGTCTGGCATCGCTCATAAGTCGTCCATAAATTATAGCCTCACCCTTGTGACTAACAGAAGTTACACACATATAAGGTGCAGACCAACTCGTTACCAAGATGAATTGAGAAAATATAGCTTCAATATATCATACATACCTACATCAAGCCGCCAAATGGCTAAATGTATTCGATCCTCGTACTCCCTACAATTTTCTCTTCCTCCTTAACCGTATATCCCACTTTTCCGAGTTGGGGAGTACTCGCAGTTACGAACACGGTTGTAAAAGTCGGTCATCATATACTCAAGGTCATATATTGGATCGAGCTTAGCGAGGAGTCCAATGTCTACATCATGTCTATTTCCTTCCACATTACCTATCCATTCCGGAAGCCAAACACTCGCGTGGAACCGTACAATCATCCCTTTTGAACCTTATTATTTCATGCAAACAATGGGGCAGTTCTTCAGGTTTGGTTGGTTTTCATCATGCTTTCCAGTTTCCGTCTCAGTTTGGAAAGGACAGGAGGCTTAGTAGTCTGTGTTATCCCTGGCGCTGGTGGTTTCTCAGTTGATTCAACTTTCTTTCGAGGGAGTCGACATATGGAGCCTCAACCACGTGCTGATGTAATGAATTCCACTCGATGATTCGATGGGAAAGCCGATAGTCAACTGACAAGTAATTTGTTCTGAGCTTATGAACTTTGATGGAATGTCCTCGTGAATCCTCTGTTTTGGAAGACAAGAAAAATGAGGGCATATCAGGTGCAAACTTATCACTAAGCAATTCGAAAACCGTAATCAAGTCGCCTCTAGTTCTTCGACATGACAACGGAAATAGGTTTAGCTTTGCCGGTCGAGCATCACACAAGAGCTTCGCTATTCCGGGAATCAGCTTAATTGCTGTTCTCTGAATCCTTTCCAGAAGTTCACAGTTTTTTAAGCAGGTGCTAGCCGCTTGTATGGAGTACTTAAGTTTAGGACGTAAGAACACTGTATACCTTTTAGCGTCGACATGCGTAAAAGCTCTACGTATTGACCATAAAGTTCTAAAACCTTTGGCGGCTAATGCACGGCAGTGTGCAGTAGTCTTTAAGTCTTGGCTAGCGATTACTTCTAAGTGATTGTGTCCGGACAACAGGTAGCGCAGTGTTATTTATCGTATATGTATCTGTACCTTGATGACCGATATGCATCACAGCACACTTGGAAGTATTTGTCGGCAACTGCCAGGTTTGAGACCATTCAGATAATTTCTCCAGGTAATTTTGGAGTTCTAAGCTATCACCCTTACAACGTATTGCCCTCCATATCTTGGCATCGTCAGCATATAGCAAAACCGATGATGATATTATACGAGGACGGTCATTTACATACAAGAGGAATAACACTGGCCCCAGAACTGTACCCTGAGGTACAGGTACACAGCTTCCCAGCTAGATAACTTTAAGTTCGCTCGTACTCTTTGTTGGCGCCCAACAAGGAAGTCTTTTATCCATATCAATAGATTGCCTCCAATCCCGACATTTCTTAGCTTATATAACAGCCGGTTTTGCGGAACTTTGTCAAAAGCTTTGCTGAAGTCAATGTAGGCTACGTCTACAAGCAAATTTCGGTCCTTAAGAGCACACCAACTTTTATGAGCGACTAATAAGTTAGTGAAACAAGAATAATCTATTCTCAAACCATTCTGCTCCTCTGAAAGGATCCGGTTTTTATCGCGATACTAAAACAGCTCCTTCCGAATAATATTTTCTAAGATTTTAACAACCACACTAGTTAGGCTAACGGGTCGGTAATTCTCAGGTTTATCTTTCGTACCTGTTTTGAAGACAGGACTTGCTATGGCGTTCTTTCAGTCTTTTGGTAAACAATCCTGGGTTACGGATAGGTTAAAGCATTTAATTAGAGGGTTCGCAACGAAGTTAGATAATTTTTTTAATATCCTAGGGTGCAATTTATGGGCCCCGTGGATTTACCTACGTCAAGCTTATTTAGTAAACCAAAGACATCGAGTTCTTTAATGGTCACGCTGTCCAGTGTGTGTGCAGGGATTTGTAAACCGACGGTAAAGGTGTTTCTATGGTATACACATTGCTAAAATAGTTTGAGAATACTCGAGCCTTACTAAAGTCGTCCTTCATTAATGGTGAGGAAGTACTGTCTCCCCAGAGTGCAGGAATATTTCCTCTTCTTTTTGTCCCTTGTTTTATGTGGGAATACGGGCGTTTAGAACATTCTATGGATTCCTTAACAATTTTTTGTTCGTACAACTTTCTAGACTTATGGGCACAGGTATTCCGAGCTTGTCGATACTGAGATTTTGTCTCATCAGTCCCCAGTAACTTAAATCTATCCCACATTTTTCTTCTCTTGCGAAGAAGGATGCGGACTTACCTACTGAACCATGGTGGGGTTTCTCGGCTCCCTTGGTATAGTCCAAAGGATGTGGGGTGCAGTAAATTTTGAGTATAAATTTCCAAATACGTCCCAAGCCGTTTCAATGAGGGACTCTGAGTCTATTGTCCAATCTACTGACTATGCTGAGTGTATAATATCTTTTATATTTGCATTCCAGCTGTTAGGTCTGCATTAGCTGACGCATTGTCGTTTTTAAGAATTACATGGTTGTCAAAGATTAGAGGTGCATGATATATTCTACCTAGGGGTGGCATGTAATGGAGGTTCGCAAAGTCATCCTCATAGTGAGTTAGTATAAGATCTAGTAAGGATTGTTCAGTGTCCAGGTCGTACCTAGTCGCTTCTTTCACACGTTGCACTAGGGCAAATTGATAACCGCATCAACCAGTTCCTGCACGAAGGAATTGTCTGACGATTCAGTTCTCAGATTTTCCCAGTCTATCATTGGTCCATTAAAGTCCCCTAGGATTAGACATTGACCACTTTGTGACCAAGTATTGAGACTGCTTAGCAGGACTTCATTTACCTCACAGCTTGAACTGCGATAGACCAAACCAATCAGCAGCTCTTGACCCTTGCATTTCAAGCTGCAACTAATTAATTCATACATCCCACTCTTATGGGATGCACTGTCGATAATGGCGAATGGAATGGCATCTCTAATGAATAGAGCTACTCCCCATCCTATACGCTTCTGTATTCTGTCGGCCCTTACTATGGTAAAACCCTCAAAATCAAGTTCCATACTATCTATAGACAACATCGGCCAAGTTTCTGTGACTGCGATTATGTCTGGCTTTGGACAGTCAGACTGTACACATAGTTTCGATCGCTCATTGAGCGAGCTTCGGGAATTAGTGTTACGGATCCGAAGCCTATTTAGATGGCTTCGTGCTTCACCCAGTGTGGCTTCGTCATCATTCTTTGTCGAAGCCTCACAACCCGAAAATTTACAATTTTAGTTCCTTTTCACGTCTAACCTAATTTATAGTTCTTTTTTGGCTTCCCGTCTTTTTACACGGTCTGCCAGCGGCAAGTCCTTACGGACAGAATCACCTGAACCATTTAGTTTATGTCTGTTCTGTAAAATTAAGTCGCGTTCATCAGGAGAATTGAATACTGATTTAAGCAGTTTGGATTGATTAGGCTTCAGGCTAGCTAGACTAGCTACCCTGTACATTTTTAGCGAGGTATCTCCGGAGATATTTTGAGGCATAAGTTGAATAAATGGCATTTTATTAGCCCAACATCATGCTCAAAACAAGTTTTCGGTTCGGAGCTTTCATTCTCCTTGATTCTATGGAAAATAACTGACTCGTCACTGTGATCAATATTTAATTTCTCGACTATTTTTTATCGGGGCAGGGTTCCTTTTTATATCGTTATGTCGTTTCTTGCTTACAATCTGTACTCATTTGTCAATTTTAGTCGGAGCAGCAACCACAGTCGCGTTAGAAGTACTGTGGGACTTCAAAGAGTGTTCAACGACTTGGGAAGTCACTGTGTGTTTCCCGCTGGAAACCAATTGAGCCATGCGATTGCGGCTTCTAGGCGTTTCCTGCTGGATATCATTTGGAAGACGAGGAACAGAGGAAACTTTCTTTCTTGAATTTTTAGCTGAGACAGACCTCTTTAGAGACTGTATTTCCCCCTTTGGTCGGTGTGAGTCAGCTGTTTTCCGACTCACCTCAGTTTGCTTCACACCAATTTACGTGTCGACAATTCGGATGCTGTCCGATGTGTCCCGACCACGCTTGCTAAAACACTTTTTGCAGCATTTAACATTGAGGTGACCTCGGTTGGCAAGCTGATTGCATGCGAACATCACTGCCGACGAGGTCATACGCAATCGATTTTACTGGGTCGTTTTAAAGCTGCAGGCGTTAAATTCGTGCAAACTTCGTGGTGCCGGCCTTTGCATTCATTGCACTGCATGCCGCTTTCAACGGGATATCGATAGCATAGACGTTGGCAATTGCTTTTTTGCACTGTAGATAACTTTTTATTTTTTTGCCTGAGGGTGACTCAAGAGGCAGGTGAGTAAACACCTGATAGCCGGACAGAACATGGATAAATCGTACCTCACTTACATAGTGTCGGGTAGCTCGCTCGTGACAATTCCTCAGATATTCTTGTTTCCTTTTCTAATTTTTTCCTCTTGCGAGCTTTAATCACTATGCAGAAGGCACGTAGCAAACCATCTGCGATAGTTGTGGAAGAAGTTAAGTGCTACAAAACAAGTTAACAAGCTAGTACATGAAGAGGTATTCATGGACTATCGTTGATTGCTGACGGATTTAGTCGCCATCCATTGGAAGTCAAACTCTGAGCAAGCTGGTAATGCTGCCTTGGGCTTCGGAAACAGAACGTAGGTGTACTTCATTGATAGATTAATTGAACCGACGTTCCTACGGAATCAGATTCTAGGGGGAAGTCAATGTAACAGCTTAGATTGATTAGTTAACTTCAAATAACTAGGTATATGTCCAAACAATAGAGCTCAAATTATCATGCACTTCATTATTTTGTATAGGTATTATATTTTTTGTTATCTTATTCTGAATGTCACAAAGCTTTGTATGTTTGAATAGGTAATCCAACGCTCCACTGTGACTGCCACGTGATCTTAATAAAAACCTAATTACTAGTGGTTTGATTTCTTCTATTAATTGAACAAGGGTTACCTAGAGGCACGAAATCTTCACCCTCCACCAAATGTTATAACACCGTCACACTTACCACGTGCCAACAATCATAGGGTTTCTTGACATAAGGGTCGCCTTCAACTCGTTGGACAGAACTGAACTCTGGGATTGTCCATCGAAGAAGGTTGTACCTCAGAAGCTGATTGGCATCTTGAAGGCCCTATATACCAACAACTCGGACAGAGTAATGGTATACAACCAACTCTCTCCATTGTTCCATTCAAGTAGTGGTGTTAGAAAGGGTTGCCCAATCTCACCAGTTCTC